GCACAATGGCCTTCGCCAGCGATGCAGTGAAGCTGTCCGGCACAGGGCCTGACTTGACACTGAAGCCTGAAGCTTCGGGCGATGGAAGGGCGACCGTCGCTTGCCTTGGAGGGGCCACAAGGCCGATTGGAGGAGGCGGAGGCTCGGGATGCTCGCAGCCCTCGGACATCTCCCCACTTTTGAGCCCATCATTAGGGCCCACCCGCCACCAGCAACGCTTGCCAGACCATGGCGGGACTCCGTGTCAATGCTGCCTTTATCTGCCTAAACATACTCTCTCTCTCTCTCTCTCCCTCTCCTTATACCTCAAGCACAACACTGCGACGGGTCTGATGCTGTCGAGCGATTGCCTCGATGGTACTTTCTGTTGTGGCTCAACCCTCTGCAAACCGGAACATCCTCCGGACAAGGACATCTCTCTCATGACAAGCTGCAACACTCTACTCGGACCTTAGCCGGACCGGCCATGGACAGGGTCATGGCCTGGGCCGCGCACGCTCCCGACACTTCACCTAGGAGGCCTAAGAGGACCACTGCGCCGCCCCGCCCGCGCCTGGTGCCCCAGGCGCTCCGCCGCCGCTTCCCAGGCGGTGACCTGCTGGACGGGCTGACTGCGCCTGACTGCAGAGCAGAAGCCGGATGGCCCCACCCCGCGGCGCCGGCCTCCCGGTTTGGCTTGGAGGGCGCAAAGCCCAAGGGCGCCAGGAAGCCGGCCGCCTGCCAGCAACTTCTCCTTTTAAGATATGCCCACTTAAGCTAAATACCGACCTCGGGGCACGCGTTGCTGATTTCAGTGAGAACCTGAGAGATCTTGGTGGCACACATAGCGTCCTGCGTTCCCGGCTCTGATCCCCGGACGGCCAGCAACTCGTCCCTCTCAGCAGCCAAGCTGTCGACCTGAAAAAACGGAGGTTGCTCATTGTCATATTTGTCATCGTGAAGTTAATCTGCAACAATTTTACTGACTGATTGGATGTGCACGCGGCCGTTGATGTGTGGGACGGGTGCACATATCCAGGAACAAACATTTTCAATTTATTCTGCCCGAGCTATAACATCGACAAGACGTGCAAGCGTAAGGCTTGCTTGTATTGGCTATGCGAGTTAAAAATTTGATGCTAGCAAACATGTGAAAGGAGGCAACTGAAAGATAGCAGGGTGAGAGAGGGATCAAAAGCAAAGCTGAATGATGTACCGTCAGTTCTTGATAAGCACGCCTTTTGCAAGCAATCAGGTCTGGGCTTCGCGGGTTGCTGTTGCATCAAAAGCCCGCTGCAGCTGGCGATCTTCATGTGACATACTCGATTCCATGCACGCGTGCGCGTCGTGTTCAGGTGTGCAACTTGTCTGGATTTCCAAAGAGCCCATGGCGAAACGAGCAGCCAGAGGCCTTTCTCACGTGTGCGCCGCAGCCCCAGTCGCTATGAGAGTCGCTGCCTCAGGAGTCGAGATCCTGAAAACGCAGTGACGAGTGGCCCCAGCTTTGGCCCCCAGCAAGATCTCCCCGCGCCCCCTAATCGAGAAGGGCCTGATTGGGTCGGACAGCCCAGTTAAACTAAGACCAACGAGCCCGCGGACCCATGGGATCACGAGCCCACGGACCAGCCACGGGCACGGGCCCACGGGCGCGCCATAGAACTATCAGCCGGTGTAAAGTCGCCGCAAGCCCTGCGCACACGGCATGGGAGTGAAGTCAATCCAGGCGGGGTGATGTCAGCCCAACAACAGTGAAAATCCAGTCATTCCGCCAGGGCACGCGCATTTTTGGAGTGTTCACAACGTAGTCTAACAACGTCGCATGCCATGCGCACGGTGGGTTCCTCATTAGAAAATGAGTGGCCGACATACACATGAGTATATGCGAAAACCCAGTGGATGTCATCCAGGTTGGGCCATGGATTCTTCGGGACATGGACGTCATTATGCTTGGGGGTGGGGGCCCCGGGTGGGGGGGGAAACAACCTAACTAGCACTAACCTAAACCCAAAGCCCAGCTTCCCCCTGATTGGGGGACCAAAAAAAACTAGACGCTGGGCCCTAAACCCTA